AGCAGGTGCCACCCTTTGGTGCGCCCTCTCTCGTCCTTAGTCCCTCCCCCATCAGTGCCAGCCAACATGCAGTGTACGCGTGTTGCCTGGAGCTGAGCGAGGACGGACCGAAGACGAAAGAGAACACACCACATCAGACAAAGACACTCACTCACATACACAGCACTTTCCATCCCCCCACCCCCACCCTCCCAGACAGTGTTTGGTTCGGACAGCATTTGTTTGTTTGTTCCATCCATCATGAATGCGTGCCACGGACGGACCGTTGGTGTGTTCTCTCCCGTCTTGCTCGCCATCTCCACCAGGGCCAGCCAACGTGCGGTGTGTACACGTTGACTGGAGCAGATGCAGATGGGTGGCAAGACGAAAGAGAACACACCACATCAACGTCAGACTCTTCCAGACAGGAAGACCAGACAAACTCTCAGAAGCGCTTCCGCCTCAGCTGTTTCTTCCCCTCCTTCCCCCTCGTCGCACTGACGAGCGTCAGCCCCCCTCCGTCACGCCCACCACCACCACCACCACCCCCAAGCCCATCGCTCACATACACTGTCAGAGTGGTGGGCAGTGCGGCTGCCTCCTGCTCCTCCTTGAGCCGCTGCTTCTCGTCACTCTCCAGCTTGCGCCGCTTGCTGGCCGTGAAGCGGTCGTCAGGGGTGGGGGTGTGCTGTGATAGTCGTTTGTAGCCGTTGAGGAGGGAGGGGCCTTCCATCAGATCGTGGAAGCGATCTGCATGGAATGGCATAGCATGGCGAGGGAGAGAGAGAGGGAGGGAAGATACACACGTGTGTGTGTTGAGTGGTGGGCGTGCAGGGCACCTATGGTCTGCTTGTGGTCCTGCAGAGCTTTCTGGAAGTCCGTCACCTTCACGTGACGCTTACTGAACACACACCCCACACACCCACAGACATCAATGGAGCAAAGCAAAACACTGTGTGTGTGTGTGTGTGTGTGGTTCAGAGGAACATACGCACATACGTACGTGGTGAGGAATGATTTGCCGCTCGAGTCTCGATACTCCACCGGGATGAACACAACAGGCTGCACCGGGATGTCAGCCACCCACCGGATGGGCACAGACGACTCACACGCGGGGGGCGGCAGCACCAGCATCTCACTGGTAGACGGCGAGCCCTCCACTTGCTGAGAGAGAGAGAGAGAGATAGTGGCTGCGTGAGTGTCTGTCCGTCTGGTTTAGCTGTTACCGTTATCATTGGCAGCGGGTAGTCGACCTCTGTCAACGAGTTCCGACTCTTCCAGGCCTCCCCAATGGCCTCCCTCAGCGATCGGCACCCCCTCTCAAAGTCGAAGCTATCCACACCAGCCTTGCCGCCCCTGTCTGCAGCAGCGGGCCGAGACCGCTGGTCGTCCATCGCTGGCTGCTGCTGCTGGTGGGCTTCTGGTGGTGTGGGTGTGGGGGGTGGGGAGGGGGAGGGTGCGGGAGAGGGGCGGTTGGAGTCCTTGGGCGACCCACTGGGGAAAGGCTTGGCGTCCTGACGCACACACAGACAGTTAGACAGAGAGGCGGATGGCCAAGGTCTCATTGTGTGTGTGTGGTTGCTTGGTTGGTCATGATTGCTTGCTTACGTCATCCCACTGGTGCAGCAGCCGCCTCCAAGCGCGAATGCGGCCATCAAACCCACGCTTGCTCGCCTCCTCCACACACATACACACACACACACAGAGAGTAGCCGTGGTGTCTGTGGAAACGAGGCCCTTCCTGTCTGCGTGTCAGTCACACACTGCCCTGCCCAGCTCACCTCGTGGATGGATGGTGTGACGGGGTGTACGGAGAAGGACTTGGTGGGGTCCCTCTTGTCCTTGGGCACCGCCGCACGGTACCTCTCGTACCCATTGGTGTTCTTGCCGATCTCTATCTGCCGCCGCCGCGCCTTCAGACGGGCGGGATCTGTCTCAACTGATGACAGACACGGACGTCACGGCAACACACACATCCAATCCACACAGGGTCTGCTCTGGCACAGCACCCTCCCTTGTGTTGTGTTGGCAGGCACCTGACCTCTCTGTGAGGGGTTGTGTATCCTCTGCGGCCCCTCCTGGTAGTCGCCGTCACGCCTGCTGTGCCGCCAACTGCCGCGCTGCAGGTCTTTGTCGGCGTCGCGGTGCCTCTCACGCCTCTCACGCTCGTCGAAGTAACGACCGCCACGATAACTATGGCCAGAATGGTGGGAATGCATCACTAAGGGGATACCTCGTGGTGAAGTGTCCAAGCTCGCACTCGAGGCAGGGATCGTTTGAGTGTTTCCACTCTATTCATCACTGCAAGGCAGCTTGTGTGTTCACACCAGGTCGTGCAGTGCTACAAGCAGCTCTGAAGATCCAGCCGATTTCGAGCTTGCGTCACATGGGGGCTCCTGGGGGTCCCGCACTGCCAATGCACTGCACGAGCACCGAGCGACAAGTTTGAACATCGTGCAGCTATAAGCCATCATGATCACCTAAAGCTGAGGGTCTGGCCTCATTCGAGCGCACTGACTGTGGCAGCTGACACACGATCTTCAACAAACAACATGCACCTGTCGGACCAACTCGGCGGCACTGCAACAACGCGGAGATTCTCCAATGACCTTCCCCAGAGTTCCCCGTCACCGACAACAGCAGCAGAAGCCACGGCAACCATGCGCCCCTTCCCCTGGTCCAGCATCCATCCCTGCCAAATGGCCACCTTCATCGAGAACGCTCCCGCGGCTGCCCTCCTGCAGATGGAGAGGGAGGACACACCCCTGGGGCAGCTGGCGAGAGGCCTCGACGCTCGGCAGGTTTCTTTGACTGTGCAGTGGAAGCACATCATGTACCGGGTGTGCATCCACCACACGGAGAGGGAGGCGCACCTCGCTGCATTGAAAAAGAGTAAGCACTATGGACGGCCGATACATACATCTTGTTTGCCCTCCATGTCATGCAGTCAGCTCGAGTGTCGCCATGTCAGCCGAGAACGTGGTGGAATGGACAAAGGCGTTTTCGATGGCGGGCGAGAGCGTCATCACCCCCCCGATGGTGCACTTCTGCGTGGCGCACTCGTCCTTCTGCGCCAGGGTGCTGACGAGCTTCAATCGGTCCTGCAGAGATGTGGCCAGGCAGGGTGCCTTCACAGGAGATGCTAATGGCGCGTGTGCACCTTGGGAGGAGAGGGAGGCCCTCAGCCGCTTCCTGTCCTTCCTAAAGGCCAGCAACGACCTGACAACTCAGGAGCTGGAGGGGTGGCTCGGGGCAGGGGAGCACAGGAAGGTCATCCTGGAGATCGACCGGCTGTTCGAGCGGACATCGCTGCGGTGGACCGACCCCGCCATGCACCTTCTCCGGGCGTCCGCACTGCAGGCCATCCACCAGGATGAAGCGGCGTTGCGAGGCCTGGAGACCTTCTTCCTCTTCTCCAACCGCTCGCGTCACCACACCCCCACCTCTCCCTCTCATCAGTCGTCATGGCTGAGCGGCCGCAAAGCAACGGTGTACGCCTATACCCTGATGGGCAACATTATTGTGCGCCGGCTCGTCAAGGCCTCCACCCATCTGCTGGGGCAGGGCACAGCCACACCAGGTGGTGAGGCGAATCGGTCAGGACGGGCCACGCCGACCACCAGTGGTGCGGCGGGTGGGCTGGGCGGGGGAAGGAGCGGCGGGAGGGGGATGGTCAAGTCGTCGAGTGTGTTCCTCGACCAGGTCGACAGGGCGGAGACGGCCTTCAGGTGAGACATCCAGCACCCACCCACAAGCCACTGTCCTTCCATCGCTTGCTTCCATGGCATCAGAGCGGCCTTGCACTGCATGAAGGCACCCGACGAGAGGGGGGGCGAAGTGTGGCTGAGGGGCCAGCACGCACTGATTCGCGAGGGGCTGCGGCGGATAGAGGAGCTCCGCGCCACCCGGCTGACGCCGTCCAACTGCTGCCACATTACAGTGCCCATGGTGCGCATGCTATGCACCGACCCCCCCACAAACACACCAAAGCAATCTTTTCCTCTCCTGTCTGTCTCTCTGTGTCCCTCTCTTTGGTGCATTGTATGGCATGGGCAGGAGGACGATGGCGAGTGTGGGTGTGTATGCGACGCGCGTCGGCTGGCGGAGACGGTGAATGTGCCCTGGCCTATGGACCTCACTGCTGGTATGGGGGGGATGGTCTGCCACACACACAGCACAGCAATGCACGGTGTCTCCTTTCCTGTGTGTGTGTGTGTGTGTGTGTGTGTGTTTCAGGGTTGCAAGACAGCATATTGTTTGAGCGTGAGAGGGGTCCCAAGAGTGTGTTGGGTGAGGAGGACCCCGGCTTGTCGCTGCTCTTTCTCGACACCACAAACCCGATAGACTTCTTTGCCACGGTAACTTGAGGGAAAACCTAAAACCCAATGATGATGTTGTTGGATGCATGTCTTGTCTCTCATCAACCCTACTCACTACTCGCAGCTGGACAACGTCCGCCGCCGGGGCGAGGTGTACCGCCGCCTCCACCCCTTCCAGTTCCTCTCGTCCCAGCTCAGGCCCCTCAACCTTTTCATCCAGGCGCCAGACGTGCCTTCACTGGCGCGCATGATGGTCTACTGGGCGGTCGCGCGAGAACGCGCCGTGGCTGAGGTATTACGAGAGGGTGCCTCTCGGGATTTGGGTGCATTCTGGACTCATCTGGGTGTGAGCCTTCTCGGCCACTGCACGCTCAGCGATGAGCAGCAGCAAGCTGTCGACTACCTTCTCACCAACCTGATTGCGGCTGCCGACCACCCTCCCAGCTTCTGTGTGCTGTTTCCGTGGCTGGACTTGCTGCCGTCCACCCCTTCGCCCGACACGCCCTCCTCCCTCCCAAAGCAAGCCAATGAGACCAACAACCACGAAAGCACACGAGTGACAACCGTGCAGGCGGCGTACCAGGACCCCCTTATGCAGCAGCGCAACCTCGCGAGCGCCTTAGACCTTGACAACACCGATGACCAACACTTAGCAGACAGTACAGACGGTGCCAGTGCCAGTGTCTCTTCCACACCCACCCTCCTCACCCGCCTCAAGCACATCTGGCTCGGCTGGCGATCCCCACGTGTGGTGGCAGAGCTGGCGGACTTCAGAGTGAAGCTCCTGGAAGAGACCAAGGAGCGGCTCTTCAAGAGCCCTCTACAGCCCGCCACGGCCCACCAGCTGCCCACAAGGATCGTCGCCTTCATCCGCCGGCTGAAAACCGCTGATGTGCACGACGCGAGAAGGAGCTTGGAGACCACAATGACTGTGGAAACTGGTGGAGGCGCAGGGGAGCACCGAAAGAAGGCGGCAGAGGTGCACGAGAGTGTGCTCGAGAGGTTCAGGCGACATATGCTGGGGGAAGAGACCAATGCCCTGCTGGACGCGTGGCTGCTGAGGGCACCCTGCCCCGTGCTCCAGTCTTACCTAATGGAAGAAAGAGGGAATGGCAACGGAGGAGACGCAGACAAGGCTGTCCGTGACTTGTCTCAGCGTCAGCTGTGGGGATTGCTGGGTGCGCTGGCGCCCCCCAGGATGAGCACGGTCCGTGTGCTGGAGAGATCGAGGGAGGGGGGCCGCGATGCGGGCGCAAGGAAGCGGAATCGTAATGAGCCGCCACCGGTGGATGGTGGTGAGGAGGGCGACGGTTGTGGGGACGGGAAGAGGTCTTCTTCGTTTGTGTCGTCTTTTGGTTTGCGGATCTTCCGTGAGGCCTTCAGGCAGCTGAGAAGGTCAGGGTGTCCTCTTGCAAGCGAAGTCACTCACTCATCGCCCCTTTCTGTGTCTCCTTGTTTCTCTTTTGGTTTAGTCTCTTCGCCGCCTCTGACAATGGTGACAACCGATCGAGAGCCCCCAACCCCCCCAACCCCCCCTCAGCTAATCCACTCTTCCTGCGGCCCTTCTCACACACATTCAACCCCTCAGTCCCCATCGACCTCTTCGCAACCTTCGCACCGACTCTCTACCGACGCGCAGCCACGCTGCACACACACAACCCCCAAACGTCGTCATCCCCCCCACCCCCGATCATCCCATCGTCGCACCACTCGTCCCTACGGCATTTGCTCAAACAGAGGGAGGGGTTCAAGTCCGTCTCGCCACGCATGGTCTCATGGCTGCCGTGCGGCCCGGTGGACGCTCACTGCTGCCATGCCAGCAACGAGGGTGAGGAGGGGCGTGTTGCCGAGGGAAGGCTGAACGTGTTGGGTGTGGCGAGCGAGAGGATGGAGGCGTGGCTCCGGGCGATGGGCGTGCTGGTGGGGTTCTTTCCCACACTCAAGAGACAGGGCGACACTGCACAGCAGCAGCAGCAGCAGCAGCAGCAGGAGGGAGAGAATGACCACCACGACATCGACCACGTCGACGAGAGAGACATCGAGCAGCAACATGAAGACGACTTCGAGGACACCGCCGAGTGGATATCCCGCGAGCTTTTCCGGCTTCACCACCGGCTGGCGCATCAAAAGCTCGACCACAGCTTGCACAAGTTCATCCTGTGGGCGAAGGGGGACATCCCAAATGCACTCCTCCCGGACACATCGGCCCTCAAGAAGAGATGGTGGCTGCCAGATCGTGGGAGGGAGGGAGAGGGAGGGGGAGGTGGAGGTGGTGACGCTTGGCTCGACGAGATGACGCAGGAGGGCCAGTGGTTCAGGGTGCGTGTGGTGGTGACGGTGGGCAACGCCATCCACCAGGCGCAGAAGTGCCAGCTGCACCCGAAAGGCAGGGGACAGTTCGACGCTGTCCTGTTGCGGGAGAGCCTCTTTAGCGAGGGGCTGGTGTCGCTGTGCACGGCACTGCAGCCACTACTGAAGGCCAAGTCCCCTCATGCTGCCGTCACGTGTGCGGCGAGCGAAGAACTCTACCAACATAAAGTAAGTGAAAGAGAGAGAGAGAGAGAGACCGAGCCGACATTGTCTGTCCCATGACGTTCTGTGGCTCCCTCCTGTGTGTAGGTGTGTCTGACCCCAATGGCTGGGTGTCCGTCATGTCTCCCCGCCCTGCCCCCCCAGCCACAGCCACAGCCCCAACCTCAGCCCCAACCTCTCCCTCTCCCTCTCCCCTTGTCCCCTGAAACATCCGTCCAGAAGGCCCTCCCACCCACAATTCAGCCCCAGCCTGTGTGTCTGCTCGCAAGCGACCTTTCCGACATGGACAAGACCTTCAGGCAGGTGCAGACGGCAAGGCAGATCAGGTCGCACGGGTCAAGCCGGCTCGTCAGGTCGACGCAGCCCACAACGCCCCATGTGGGTAGGACGGAGGAGAGGGAGAGGGCTTTGTTGCTGCCGCTGAAGGAGGTCTTCTGCTCCACCCCCCGCCCCGTCCCTCCGTCATTCAGCGCTCGATCGACGATGCCCACCACACACAGAAGTACGGACGGTCTGTGGGTGTCTCCCCGAGGGAGGGAGGCGGCCTTGGCCATGTCTGGTGCTATGCCTGCATCCGCGGAAAGCACGACGAGGGTGCCGGAAGCGCCACCCTTCCCTCTGCCGTTGCCGTTGCCGTTGCCCTTGGAGTTGCCGGAGACACCCCGTGTGTTGCGGGTGGCTTCTCATCGGCGAGTGCCCGTGAGACACGATTCCGCCCCGGCTGCTGCAGTCGGCACTCAGCAGCCACAGCAGAAGAGGGGGCGAGGGGAGAGGGGGCGGAAGAGGTCAATGGTGCCGTCCTTTGAGGACCTCACTCGGTCACACCGAGCCCGCCATCTCAGCATCAGCATGAGCACGGGTTGGCAATCGGAGCCACTGACGGTGGAGGGAGGTGAAGTCGGGGAAGGTGACGAGCAGCCGTCCTTCTTCATCACGGCGATGGAGACGGACCCCGCAACAGACAGGGAAGGCCTGCCCTCTCCTTCTGTGAGAGGGGGAGGGAGACACCATCAGGTGCAGTCCACTGAGCTGTCCCTACCCCTCGTCAAGATGGAAACACAGGGCGAGCAGCCCCAGGAGACAGACACGCGAAGGACGAGAAGAACAAAGGCCTACGACCCAGCGCACTACCAGATCGCCAAGCGCGTGCAGCATGGGATGCCCGCCCCCCTCGTCTCTCCCCTCACCCACACACACACTCTGCCCTCACAAGACCTCTCCCTCTTCCTCTCTCTCCGCTTGATGCCGATCCAGGGGGCAGGACAGCTGGCGCCATTCTGCAACCGATTGGGATACGAGGGGCCCTCCCCCGCCCCATTGCTGGCCTTAGAGGACAGGCCGAGAGGCAAAGATGGTGCGCGAGTGAAAGGAAAGGCGTTGAAAGGGAAAGGGGAGGCAGAGGTGGGGATGGCTCGGGCGCCTTACACGGCGAAGTCGGAGCTGTGGGACGCGCTTGTGCATCGGGAGGTGGGGGGAGTGAGAGAGGAGGGGTTCGACTGGACGCCCATGCAGATGGGCGTGCTGCTGGGTATGCTGCCGAGTGCGGAACCACTGCACCACACGCACTTCCGGTGAGCTAAAGAAAAGTGGAAAGGTGTTTGCCGCATTTCTGTCTTGGTGTGTGTGCGTCTGTGTGTCTTTGCAGTTGTCACGCCCCGCCCGTCCCCCCCTCTCTGGAGAGCGAGCTGCGTCGGTCGCTGCCCCACCACACGTGTCTGATCACGCCCCCGCCCCACGCGCAGCCCCCGCACCCAGACATCCCCATCGAGCACCTCATCCAGGCCGACCCAACACGGCCCAAATCTACCCTCACTGAGCTGCATTTATCGCCCTATGACACCATCCTTCATGTGATGGAAGACGGAGAGGCCTGCTGGCCGTCGATGGGCGTGACACTGTGTGGTGATGGTGGAAGCTTTGAGAGACAGCAGGAGGTGCTGCTGTGGTGTGGGACGGAGGAGGGCGTGGAGAGGCTGTTGGATCCGGTGGGTCGTCATGGCGGCGATGATGGTGGGGGGGTGTCTGCCGAGAGCCGTAGGGAGAGAAAGAGGGGGCTGCTGCGGGGGAGGCAGGGGGGCGAGTGGTATGGGCCAAGGTGTCTGAGGCTTAGGAACATGACGGTCAGTCAGCGAGAGACACGACACCATCACGCCCATTCAGCTATGTTTCGATTGAGTGAGTGTGTTGTGCTGCTCATGCAGGCTCTTCCTTTTGCGTCGAGGCTGTGCGCCAATGTGCCGTATTGCCGAGCTGTGACCTTGCCGTGGAAGCAAGACCCGACCCTCACATGCGGGCGGTGCGGTCAGGTGAGCTACTGCAGCATCGACTGCCGAGAGGCACACAGACTACAGGTAGGTGCAGTCGATTGTGTCTAGCAGCAGATGTCTTCACATCTGTCCTCTTTGTGCTGGTGTTGGTGCCATCCATCAGCACGATATGTTCGAGTGCCCGAACCTCGTCCCGCTGACCGAGGCCTTCGTTGCTTTTCACAGCCACTCAGTCGACGACCTGCGGCACCAGATGCTGACCCTCGCCCCCTCCCTCCTAGCCACAGGCAGCCCCTCCCTGCCCCCGTCATCCCTTCTCCCCGCCCCAACATCGACCGTCATGGCGCCCTCCCTGACCCTCCTCCGTCTCTTCCTGCGGCTCTCGGTCAGGCTGCACCCGCTGCGCAAGCTCATCCGCGGTGCTCTGTATGACCTGTTAGCTTCGGAGTCCCTCTCGTCGGCTCACCGTGTGTGTCTGCACCTGACGGCCACGCACTATTGGTCGTCGTTGCGGAAGGCCGTCATGGATCGGCAGCAGCAGCCGGTGTTAAGGGCGATCGAGGATAATGGAGACAAAGGCAATGGCAGCAGCCAGCAGGGAGCAGAGGAGAAGAGTGTGACCCTTGCTGCCCCAGCCAAGCACCATGCGTAAGGAAGGAATGTTAGTTAAGGCGAGATAGATGGGTGAGCGTGAGAGGCATTCGTTGCATGGGGCATACTGCGTGTCGGTCAGGTACTCCACCTTCATCTTGCCGCCCAAATCTCCCCTGCCTCCAGATGCGCGGCCGTGTGTGGCCCTCTTCTGGGGCCCCGACGCGCGTGAGAGAATGACGGCCTGGCTGCACCTTCAGCGGCGGGGAGGAGAGGATGTCACCAAGCACTCAATGTCCATGTCGGCGATTGAGCGGGCTGCCGTGGACAGCGTCCAGTTTGTCGACAGGGTGTATCTTGACCCGCTGACGGGTCTGCTCCGTGTGCTGTTGCATGCCGATCTGGTCAAAGATGCAACGGTGGGCTGTGTGGACGACCTGGTGCTGAGTGGTGGCGGTGGGGGTGAGGAGGGCCGAGCGCAGGGTTTCAAGAGTGAGAGTGGGTGCACATGGCTGGTGCCTTTCATCCTCAAAAAAGGCAATGGGAAGCAGGTGCTTGTTCAGCAAGTAAGTAAGCTAGGCAGACTTACGCGTGTGCGTCCTACCTAATTTGTTCTTGACTTTCTTTTGTTTGTGTCCCTCGATCCCTTAATTGTGTGTGTGGTGTTGGTCTGTCAGCTCTTGTCACGTCCCTTTGGCGCGTCTACCTTACATTTGTCATCGCTGTGATCGATGGTCTCTTGTCAGTCAATACTCAGTCGTATATGCATGTCGATGTCTGTGTCGGCCTGGCTTGCACTGATCGATCTCGTCTGGTCTCGAGGGTCACCTCACCGCATGCAAGCAGAGTTAGACACACTGTACGGTGTCGGTCATCAGTCCGTCAGGGCTGAGGCTGGCCTTGTGCAAATGCGACGACTGGCCAAGATGGCATCGGTGCCATCGGTGGCCAACTGCACACAGACACACACGTATTCAGGTGTGGGTGTGTTGTCATTTTGTGTGTCTTACTATTGCTGCTGCATCACCTGTGGCTGCTGCATGAACTGAGGTGCCTGGTGTGCATAGACCACATTCCATTCATGTGTGTGTTTTGTCGTTTGCTTTGTGGCTTTCCCTCACTCACCATGAACGGTGCATTCGGTGCATTGTTGTTGAAGACTGGCGGTGATGCCATCAACTGCTGTGTCTGCGGCAACTGCTGCTGCTGCATCGACTGTCGCCAATTCGCCAACACGCTGAGCGACAGAAAGATATACACGAGACAAGAGTCAGGGATTTGATTGGCTGGCCTGCTGCTGACTGCCTCATTTACTTGTTGATGTGCGTCTTGTCTGCGTCGGAATTCGGTCTCTGACTCAGAGCTGACTGCACCAATTGCACCTGCACAACACACACACACGCACACACATCGCGTGCAGTGCACCACTCTCTCCGCTCTCTGTGTATGTTATGTGTGTGTCTCATTTCTATGCCAGTCGTGACGGAGTCATTGTGTTGCCGTCGTTGTTGTGCGAAGGGTCATTGGCGAACAGCAATGACGCAATCTGGCCAAGTGCGTCAGCTGCCTCGGTGTTGAGACCGAGGGCGTTGAAGGCACGCATCAGGTCATCCTGCTGATGTGAGGGGGGAGTGGTGGCGTCGTGCTGCTGATGGGTGGCTTGCGTGAATCGTGGAAAAAGACCTGCACACACACACACACACACATGGATGGATGGATGGATGGATGTGTGTCTCTGTCTGTCTGGCTGTCTGTCTCTCTCTCTCCGTGGGAGACACTGACTTGACTGTGTGCCTGCGTCGTTGATGTTCAGTGCGCTCTCTATCTTGCGAATCTCGCTCTTCACTGCAACACACGCACATGCAAAGAGAGACAGTGATCGTTCTGCCTCTGTCTGTCTGTCTGTCTGTCTGGTTGCTCACATGGCTTTAAAGAGTCGTCCATCATGGCTTTCAGCGACTCTGAGTCACTCGAGCTCACCGCAGTGCCCATGCCGCCACCAGCGCCATGCTGAACAAATCGTGACTTGCGCGGCAGCCTCATCTCGGCACCGCTCGCTGGTGCAAGCAACAGCAAGACAGCCACGAGAATCGCCACCATCTTTGCGCGTCAGAGAGAGAGGAGTCACACGCACAGCACAGCTTCCTGTCCTTGTATCTCTCTCTGTGTGTGTGTGTGGACATATACACGTATGTATATGTACGGGCGGACAATCATATGTAGTACAGTATATGAGCGAGTGATGAATCACGAAAAAGGGGTGCATTGCCTGAAGTGGATGGACATCCTTCCCATCCTTCCTAATCCTTCCCAACCCGTATGAATGATGAATCGCCTCGACTGCTTGCAATGGAATCGCCGAAAAGGCATGCCTGGCACCAGATAACACGCACAGTCAGCGTAGAGAGGAATTGTGCCGGGTTTGAGCGATCAGGGTATCCGCGAGCTTAACCGCGACTACCACAAAACCACCTTCGAGAATCTTTGGCTTTTCGGCACAAGCGCGGGTGCTGGTGTGCTCACAGGAGCTGCGCCGGCTGAGATCTACACCGTTCGAACCTCTAGCTTGGTAACGCAAGCAAGGGAGCTTGTTGCCTCGCCCACGCAGACCAACCCAACCCAAGACCACCACCCCTCTGTTCTGCCAGCGACGACACGATCATGAACTGCCTGAGCCGATCTCTGAGAGCCGCCTCTGCTCGCGCGCTGCCCCAGCGCCTGGCGAGTCAGGCCCGCTTTCAGGCGGGTGCTGCTGCGGCGAGTATGAAGATGGGCGTCAATCTGACGGAGAGCGTCAACGTGGCGCACCAGGCCATGGAGCAGCACGAAAAGGCCATGCGCGAGGCCGTCAAGATGAACGGTCAGTGGGACACCGACGCACGCTCACACTGCTGAGGTTGGTGTGTCTCACGTGTGTGGCGTGTCTGTCTGTCTGACTGACTGTGTCAGGTTATGAGGATCTGAACCATTTCCAGTTCGCCCCGATCCGCGAGAGCGAGGTGGGCAGGCACAGCGCAACACACCCGAAGACACACGTCTCATCCTCTCTCTGCTGGTGTGTGTGTGTGGTGTGCAGGTGTCGCGTGAGATGACGTCGCGTTACTTTGCGGACCTGGACAAGTACGCCGAGACGGATGTGCTCATCGTCGGGGCCGGCAGTGCTGGGCTGAGCTGCGCCTACGAGCTGAGCAAGCACCCGGACATCAAAGTGGCCGTCATCGAGCAGAGTGTCAGCCCTGGCGGCGGATGCTGGCTCGGCGGACAGCTGTTCAGCGCCATGGTACGGGCGTGAATCAAGTGGGTGGGTGGATTCGCGCAACAGACAGAGCGATGGATGGATGGATGCGTGTGTGCCGTGCCGCTTTCGTGTATGTGTGGATGCGCAGGTTGTCCGCAAGCCCGGCCACCACATGCTCGATGAGCTGGAAATCCCCTACGACGAGAAGGACAACTACGTACGCACACAGAACGGCCCACATACACACACACATCCCTCCACCAATCCTCTATATGATCTGCAGGTTGTGGTCAAGCACGCCGCCCTGTTCACGTCGACCATCCTGTCCAAGGTGCTCAAGGCTCCCAACGTGAAGCTCTTCAACGCCACGGCAGTCGAGGACCTCATCGTCAAGGAGGCCCACCACACGCCGGAGGGCTTCACGGGCGGCCGTGTGGCCGGCGCCGTCACCAACTGGTCCCTCGTCGCGCAGAACCATGACACCCAGGTCAGCCAGGAAAGGGTGCAGGGAGAGAGGGGGAGGGAGGGAGCACACCTGTGTGTGGTGTGTGTGTGTGTGTGTGTGTGTGTTGGTGTCATGATGTCAGTCGTGCATGGATCCGAACGTGATGGAGACCAAGGTGATTGTGTCGTGCACGGGCCACGACGGTCCCATGGGCGCAACGGGCGTCAAGCGACTGGCCGACATCGGCATACTCAAACACGTCCCCGGTGCGTGTGGATGGGAGGCAACACGGACAGCAGCAGCAGACGCTCTGTGTGTGTGTGGATGTGTGTGCAGGCATGGGTGGACTGGACCAGAACGCTGCCGAGGATCTGGTGGTCAACGAGACGCAGGAGTTGGTGCCGGGTATGATCGTCGCTGGCATGGAAATCGCTGAGGCCAAGGGACTCCCTCGAATGGTGCGCGGCCGACAACACACACCCAACCAGAGAGTATGTATCCTATCTGTGTTGTGTGTGTCTGTCTGTGCAAATTTGTGTAGGGCCCCACATTTGGTGCCATGCTAGTGAGCGGACAGAAGGCCGCCGCACTGGCCCTCCGCTCCCTCGGGCGTGCCTAAACACACTGGCAGGGCCACACACCTTCACACGTACACACACTTTCAAGCGGCGGGGGCGCAGTTTTCGTGAATGAGTGAGCGACGCACACGCACCCAACACAGCACGTGGGAGAGAGCATCCACGATTTTATCACTCAGTCACCACCACTAGCTACTAATTGGCATAGGGGGAGGGAGGGGCCCATGTATGCATTCTTGCATGTGGGGAGGGGTGGAGTGGGGTTGGGGGTGGCTTTCTCGGCTTCTTCTGTCTATTCCATTCATTCCGAATGAAGTCTTTCGTACTCACTTGGTGGTGAGCGTTTTACATCACTACCGATGATTGATCGACGGGTGAGCTTTGATGTGGGCAATGACGGCGGCACGTTAGCACGCATGTGTGCATGGAGAGCCAGACGAATGTAGCCAGTCGTGTCAGTAGTGTTGACGTGACTCGCGGGGAAGGCAGGCAGGACAGATGTCGATATGTTCCTTTTGGCGGGTCGGCGGCACGCACACGCACGCACTTGTAGAGAGCGAGATGGATGGATGGAAGCAACACGTTTTTCCCACAAGCGAGAGGAGGGGTAGGGTGCAACGGGATGAGCAGCAGCTGTGTTTTTCATTTCTCTGTGCAGTCCCTACCAGCGAACAGAGAGGGGAGAGCGTCTTGTCTGTCGGTCGGTGTGTGTTTCCGCCTCACTGCCGCGGCACGAGACGAACGAGGCGATTCACACATCGCAAGTATTGTCTCACTTACCTGTCAGAGAGGCATCAACACGGACCGACCGACCGACCGACCGACAGACCTACATTCAGACAGACAGACATGGACACTAAGAGAGATCCGGATGGTTCGTTCGATGTGCATGGATGGATGTGTCGCCGTTCGGTTGGTTTGCATGGCATGGTCGAGGATGAGATCCGTGCACACCCCACGAAGGGCTTGGCACGCGTCTTGTCCTTGGCTTTGTCACACAACCGAACCAAACGTGGCCGGGATGCATGTATGGTGTCTGCGTTGTATCTGATGGATGAGGCCCGAGTCTATCTGTTTGTCTGCACATCCACCCTCGCGGCCCGGCTGACTGCTTACTGCAAGTGAGCGGAGTGATGGACCCTCGTGTGTGGGCGACAGACGTGTGTGTGCTGAAAGGTCAAGCTGCAGATCTTGCACCTCTCGGATCAGCCAGACACAGCACACCAGCAGCCTCCTTACTGACATGCTCGGTGGGGTGCGTGTATTTCGACATGCGATAGATACGAAATGCCAGAGACCATTCAGGCTTCACCATCAAGCCATCAGTCGACAAGTGAAGGACAACGCAAACGCAGTGGCGCTTCTAGCTGATAGGTCTGAAACGTGTCTGATGCTCCAGTGGCTGCCAACAGCGACCCTCTGATGCAGCCAAAGACGTGCTAAACCAGCGACCTCACTCAATCAGCCGCCGTGCCGCAGCTTCGGTGGGGGCACATGAGCAGCTTTCGAGAACTGCAACTGTAGCATCACCCACTACACACAGACAAGACACAGCACAACACATCACAACACTCAGAAAGCGTCGCGGCTCGGTGTCGGGTGGGCGCACATGTGTGTTGACTGTGTGCGCACCTCGGGAAAGGGGTCCTTCTCGAGCTCATTGAAGAGCTTCATGAAGAGATCCGTGACCGTCATCGAGTCAATGTCCGCCTCGGCGATGTCGAAGTGCTGCATGAGGTGCTCTCGCAGGCTCTTGAAGCTCGCTTCTGTGGCCATCTCGCCCTTCTCATACCCTCTCATGCTGTTGATCTGCTCGCTCACGCGGCTGATCTGCTTGCTGAGGCGGATCTCAAGTCGGTTGAGAGCCTTCATCCAAGGTTCATCGGCCTCATCCCCCTCCTGGAGCTGCGACTCCGCCGGCGTGACGTAGCTTGTTTTGTAGCCGGCAATGGTCATCATCGGATTCTTCTTGATGGAGAAGGTGGGCGGCATCAGCTCGAGCAGCTCCAGGGCCTCGTAGAGATGCTTGTTGTCCTCCTTACGAGGGACTGCGACGAAACTTTCGCTGGGCGAACGGAGAGAATCGAGGGGAGCGATGTAGAGGAGGGGGTGGTGAGCTCGGACAGTGACAGAGTTGGTGGTGCTGCTCATGTGCCGTTTGCTCTTGGATGTCTGTGGGGACACGCCGTGGACGACACCACCGAGATATCCGTCGGCAGTCACCATAGGGCTTCCCGAGTCGCCTGGCATTGACGTGATGCCCGAGAGCAGCAGCCACAACATGCGTCTGGGGTCCGACCCGGCAGTCGGTGCCCCAGCCGTAGGGCCCACTGCGCCAGCCGTAGAACCCGCTGCCGCCGCGGTAGCCACACACGATGGCGCCTCTGAACGGATCTCCGTGATCTCGCCCTTGAAGAACCGCTGTTTGTCGACAGAACACAGCTCGTGCCGGAGGTTGACATTGTCGGCTGCAATAAGTGGCTTGGCGCGGAGTGCGGCGCGGACGATGTCGTTGTGCTCAATCCTTAGTAGGGCGAGATCTGGGTGTCCATCAGCGAGGTAGCCCTCGTGCATCCACGCCATCTTGACGGCCATTTCCTGCTCTTTGTTGCCGATGTCGGTCTTCACCTTCGTCGCGCCAACGGCGACGTGTGCGGCGGTGATCACATAGAGCTCGTCAGTGTTGGTCTTCAGCATCAGCCCCTTGCCGTAATGGTCCTCGTCGGACTGGAAGACGTCACACAGATTCATCAACTCACTTCGCTGATCCCCCCCACCATTCCTCGAGAGGCAAGACGTCGTCCACGCCTGAATCATCTCTCAGCCCTGAGATGGATGGGCCAAGACGGTCAGATGAGTGAGGCGCTCGACGAGAGGCTGCACAGAGCGACAGAGCCGACAGACAGAGGATTATGTCCATCGAGCATTTCTGCTCACAGATCTGTGTGCTGCTCACCTCGTTCGATGCTCAGATGGACAGATCAGAGAGAGGTCAACGAGCTAGCACCACCAGCAGCGGCAGAGTTTGTGGGTGCCATGGCTCCTCGGTCACAGACAGGGTTTGTGGGTGCAGGGTTTGATACCCTGAACCCTACGAGGTGAGGCGATGCGGCCGTGTGACGCATTCGGCCGAGAGAACGGCGTAGCGAGTCACTCGAGTTGTCACACCACATCGCGAGAGGGCAAAGAGCAAGCGAACACGCCACAGGGCAAAGACGGCGGCAAAGAGAAACAGACAGACAGCCAGCCAGACAGAGAGTCTGACACACATCTATCCATCCATCCATCGGTGTGTGTGCAGGTCTTCTTCCACAATTCACACAAGCCACCCATCAGCAGCACGACGCCACTCCCCGCTCAAATCAGCAGGATGACCTGATGCGTGTGTGTACGGATCTGAAGGCTTGTCGGGTTGTTCTGAGAGAGAGAGCGGTTTCACGAAATGTCCTAAGCGGCCTGACGGCCAAGTCCCATGTCTTTCACGCACCATCAAACGACGACACGCAACTGCCGGGTTGTTCTGGAGTCGCGAGCTTTGAGCGAGCTAGGCACGCTTTTATCCGGTCTCAACACTGAGTCAGTCGATGCACTCGGCCAGATTGCCTCATTGCTGCTCTCCAATGACCCTTCGCACAACAACAACGGCAACACAATGACTCCGTCACGACTGGCATAGAAATGAGACACACACATAACATACACAGAGAGCGGAGAGAGTGGTGCACTGCACGGATGTGTGTGCGTGTGTGTGTGTTGTGCAGGTGCAATTGGTGCAGTCAGCTCTGAGTCAGAGACCGAATTCCGACGCAGACAAGACGCACATCAACAAGTAAATGAGCCAGCCAGCCAATGAAATCCCTGACTCTTGTCTCGTGTATATCTTTCTGTCGCTCAGCGTGTTGGCGAATTGGCGACAGTCGATGCAGCAGCAGCAGTTGCCGCAGACACTGATGGCATCACCGCCAGTCTTCAACAACAATGCACCGAATGCACCGCTCATGGTGAGTGAGCGGAAGCCACAAAGCAACCGAAAACACACACATGAATGAATGTGGTCTATGCCATTGCACCAGGCACCTCAGTTCATGCAGCAGCCACAAGTGATGCAGCAGCAATAGTAAGACAGACAAAATGACATCACACCCACACCTGAATACGTGTGTGTGTGTGTGTGTGTGCAGTTGGCCACTGGCACCGATGGCACCACCGCCTGTTGCCTTTGCACAAGGCCAGCCTCAGCCCTGACGGACGGACTGACTGCCTTCTTGACCTGACTGACAGACCAGATCGACTAGTGCAAGCCAGGCCGACACAGACATCGACATTGCAGACACGACTGACTATTGACTGGCAAGAGACCGTCACAGCGATGACAAATGTAAGGTAGACGCGCCAAAGGGACGCGACAAGAGCTGACAGACAAACACCACACAAGGGGACACAAAATTCAACAACAAATTAATTATGTAGGTGGCACACGTGTAAGTCTGCCTGGCTTACTTACCTGCTGAACAAGCACCTGCTTCCCTTTGGCTTTCTTGAGGATGAAAGGCACCAGCCATGTGGACCCACTCTCACTCTTGAAACCCTGCGCTCGGCCCTCCTCACCCCCACCGCCACCACTCAGCACCAGGTCGTCCACACAGCCCACCGTTGCATCTTTGACTAGATCGGCATGCAACAGCACACGGGGCAGACCCGTCAGGGGGTCAAGATACACCCTGTCGACAAACACACATACAAACACACACGTCAGCCACTCTCTGCGTGTAAGTACGTGTGTGTCAGTACCGTAGTAGATGGCTGTGGGTATGGCCGTCATGTTGATGAACACGCCTCGGGCTCCTCCACACCTGGTTGATCGTTTCCACACACGCACTGACAAACGCAGAAGACGCGACGGGCAGACAGCTGAGTGAGTGATGGACCCTTCTGTGTGTGTGGACGTGTTTGTGATGAATATTTATTTTATGGACGCACGCGCGCAGGACTTCCTGCATGCTGATCGATCAGCCACCCACGCCTTCATTCACGGTGCATGCGTCCCGTCTGTCTCACATTGAAAAAAAGACCGAGCAGCAGACACAGCCACACAAACGGGAAAGCCCACGCACCAATTGACTATCGACAGGCAGGCAGGCAGACAGACAGACAGACAACCCGCGACACGGGGAGCCGGCCACCTAGCCCGAGAAACTGACAAATACCCATGGTTCAGACACCCACCCCCCAGCTCTCTCTCTAACACTCACTACTGGCACGCACAAACACATGTGTAACCCATCAGCTGTCTGTATCTACAGGCGGGCTGGCTGGCCCGTGTGTGTCTTGCAGGCTCTGTCTTTCACTCGAGGTCCTCTTCAGGAGGGGGGCCCGGGCCCGGGCCCGGCGTAGTCGTCGTGGCTGCATCCACCACACACACACACACAACGAGGCGGCACACATGACGCTCACATGACACTCACACATGCTCGTGTGCCCACGCTTACCCCATCTGAGGCACTTCGGAGGCTCTTCTGTCCCCGGCGGGCAGAGTCTGAGTGTGCAGGCTCCCAGCGTCCCGTCCTCACTGCACTGGCACCAGTTGCAGCCATCGAACCACTGCAGGCAGCCAACGGGGCAGAGGCGCTCGGGCTCGGCTACACGCACACACACAGCCAGACACAGCCACATGAGCACACAGAGTGAGTGGATCGGACAATTTCCCTCGTTGACTGACCCCATTTGCGGCATCTGGGGGGCTCCTCGGTGCCAGGTGGGCAGAATTTCCGTGTGCAGCCGCCGAGGCTGCCGTCCTCGTTGCAGAAGCAATTATTGCACCCTGACAGACGCAGGCAACCAACACACACATACCAGCCAATAAGGCACCCACCCACACACCATGGAACCGCTGTTCGTCATCCCATACCGTCGAACCATGAGACGCACCCAGAGGGACAGACGCGGCCACCATCGCCCGACTCGGGCACGGCGGCCGCCACGCCAATCAAGGCGACCATCACCACTAGGGCAGCAAGGCTGATCTTGGTCATCTTCGTGCTTGATGCTTGATGCTCCCCTGCAGCTTGGTCTTGATAAGTGACGCTGGCTGTGTCGGGTGTATGTTGTCCTTTCTGCAGCCAGCCACGAGAGGCAGATCAGACCGCACAGTCAGAAACGTTAATGGTCCGTGTTTGGTGGCATAGGATGAAAGTGCATCTCTCTCCCTCTCTCACCTCTGTGTTTGCGTTTGTTCCGGCTGAAGAAAGAGACAGGTGGTGTCGATCCCTTTCAAGCTCGCAGTAAAGCTCGCAGGGAGGCGGGACAGAAACGAGGGGTTCATGCAATGTTTTTACCAGTGCAGCGTCCTGCGGATGTGTTAATTGACTGAGCCTGATTGAGATCTGATCAGTTCTGCGTCCCTGCAGAGAGAAGATGGCGTCTGAGTCGGGCAAGGCTGAGATGTACGCGAAGATGCTGATTCGCCTGACGCACACAGAGGACGCCAAGATGACGGCAATGCTCGACAAGGTGGGCAGATCACATCAACAGACGAAACGTTGAAGAATGCAGTGCTGCTTTTATTGGTCTCTGTGTGTGTCCGTGTGTGTGTGTGTGTGTCAGATCCTGCCGGCCGTTTTGGAGGAGCTGCTCATCTGCACCGACGCAGATCGGAAGGGCGTCATTGAAATTCTCAACCACGTACGTCGTCAGATACCAATGACTGACGGACGTGGCGCACTCTCGAAGACTTTCTTGTGTGTGTGATGGGGTGGTGTGTGCGTGTAGATCATCATTCGTGTGAAGGGCAATGTGTCTGGCATCACCGTGCCGTCCGAGAAGGTCATCACCATGTGGGCCACCAAGCCGATGGAGGGCAACGGCGTCATCCTCTTCCGCAACCTCTCGCTCGTCTTCTTGGAACTCGGCATCCAGGTGAGTCGGTCCGCACCATCACACCACACACCCATGCGCACTATATGTCTGTCTGATTTGCGCTGTTTGTTTTGGTGCGTGCAGCGTGCAGACGAGCCGACCAAGCTCAGCTGCGCCTCGGCCCTGCTGCCCGTGTTCCCCTCTCTGCCCGACAAGTTCATCCCCCCTTTCACCATCTTCCTGGCCAGCTGCCTGCCGCCACACTTGTCAAAAGAGGGAACGGACAAGAGGCGCGCTGTGGCCGAGTGGATCAGAGATGCCGACAGGAAACACGTGGAACGGTGAGGGAGTGAGAGATCGTGTGGTGCCGTCTTTGTGTGCGCTCTGTGATGGGGATGGATGGATGGATGGATCGATGTGTGCAGGCTATTGTCGGGCATTCGCGAGCTGCTGTTGATTCCGTCTGGCAGTGGCGATGCCGTGTCCATGGCCGGACTCACCGCCAACATGTGGACACACTGGTCAGTGCGGAGGTGGGGGGGGAGGTGGCTGTTGGTGTGGGTGACCACACTCACACGACACACGTGTGTGTCTCTGTGTGCAGGAAGCCCAAAGTCAAGGCGCACCCTCCCGAGTCCTGGCGGGCACTAAAGCCTCCCGTTTTGGCGTTGCTCTCGCACCCCGCCATCCCCCCACTGGTGGCCTACCCCCTGCTGCTCATCGCCTCCTGCGACCCTCACGACGAGCAGACGGCAAACGCCGCTGACGGCATGGTCAAGACCATTCAGGGCCAGATGGACGTCAACGACGACCGATTCATCGCGGCAATTATTGAGAGCGTGTTGGAGAAGCCGCCGCCACCACCACCGCCCATGCCCGTGTCTGCGGTTGGTGAGAATGGGCCAGGGGCGGGAGAGGGGACAGAGAGGAGGGAGGCGCCTCCGAGTGGTGGGAGCGTGGGTCCGTTTGTGGTGAGTGGGGGGGATGTGTTTGGCCCCGTGACGGTGGTGCCCAGGGTGGAGGGCAGGAGATGGCGAGTCCCACAGGTGAGTGGGTGACACACATGGCAGACGGCCGTCTGCACACACACAACTCTTTGGTGTGTGTATATGCGTGTGTGTGTGTCAGCGAGTGCACGTCAAGGCGCTCCAGCTGCTGAGCCGGTCGCTACGAGCGGCCAACTACCTGCCCTACATCTTCCAGGTGAACATAACATGCGATCCACACCAGACACACACAAATAGGGATGTTCGCACATCCATTCATTCCTTCAGGTGTATGAGGAGGCCCTGGCGGCTCCCTCTCCCGAGCTGCACAAGGCCGCTTTGCAGTTGGGGCGGTGGGTGGTGCTGCACGGCCAACCGGACGCCCTCAGGCCTCACTGCGGCGCCATCTTCAAGTCGCTCTATGAGACCTTCATCCACACTGACGTGGAAGACGAGCACGGAGAGGGTAGGGCAGGACACTTGCTTGTACGTGTGTGTGTCGGTGGATAGGCGAGAGGTGTCGAATGCGTGTGTGTGTGTGTGTGCTTCGTCAGATCCGTCCACCACTCTCGCCTATCGTGTTGCGGCGACCCTTCTGCACAAACACGCCACCGCACCGGACCTCCCAGCTCTTGCACTGGAGGCCACACCACACGTGAGCTGAGCATTCCTTTCCCCCTGCACTGCCACCAGAAGCACCTCAGCTCCTCTCTCTCTCTCTCTCTGTGTCTGTGTCTGTCTGTCAGCTGTTCAACAAGCTCACTCGTCGCAAAGGCGGCGGCCCGCACATTTTGGAGCTCTTGGGTGGCCTGGCCGCCTGCATCAAGGAGCAGCCGCCGGCCGTCCGCGAGCAGGCCCTCGCCATCCTGGACCGCTACTCGGCTGTGCGTGTGGGAGGGGTCAAAAAGGAGGCCATGCGCTGGGCCTCGGTGCTCTATGGGCCTGACACCGCTGCTGGCAGGTACTATGCGGTTAAGGCGTCAGCGGACACCGACCGTGGTGTGCGCGATGCGGCCGCCACTCTGATCGAGCAGCACCGGCTGGACCTGCCGTCGTTCGAGAACTTCATCGCCTTCACAGTGATGGAGCGATTCCCCCCACCCCCTCCGAGCAACACACGCCCGCAGACCGAGTCCGAGTGGCTGGCAGCCGTCAGCGCGGTGCCCATCCCCCTCCCCCAGTTCCCCTCAGCCCCCGTCTCTCTGTCGGAGCGTCAGGAGCTGATGCACTACGCACTGCAGTGCGTCAAGAACGACATTGCCCGACACGCGGCGTGGCAGGCGGCCCAGCAACAGCAACAGCAACAGCAGCAGCAGCAGCAACAGCAGAAGGATACCACCACCATTACCGGATCCACGGGCACACGACAGCTGCCCGACTCGCCCCCCGAGAGGAAGCGGCAAAAAGTGGAGGTGGGGGGGCAGGACGGTCCTCCTGGTGCTGATGCTGCTGCTGATGCTGACGGGGAAGGAGCCGTGCAAGAGGAAGATGACACCGCTGAGGAGGAGACAATCATTGAGCAGACAGAGAAGGTACTTCTCGGGTGCAGTTGGACGAAAGTGCCCGTGCCTCTGTCTGTCTCTGTGCCTTGTGTGTGTGACTTTCAGGAGCGTGTGTCCGCTGCTCTCGACTTGCCGAGTGCGCCCGAGCTGCCGTCGGCACAGAGCCTCTACGCCCTCATCTATGCCCTCGACACACTGCTGGTGCCCGACGACACCCACGCCACCATGTTCCGATCGCACTTTCTCATCGCCCAGCTGCTGCTCACCGTCCTAGACCTGACAGCTGCCAGTACCAAAACGATCCTTCCTCAGCTGGAGAGGAGGCTGCCTTTGCTCATCGAGGGCATCCTCTACTCGGGCGGCAGCAACAGGCGCAAGATGGCCTCGCTGATCGGACGGCTGGCAGAGAGCATGCCAATCGACACACAGCGGCAGTGGCTCAAGGACTTCCACCGGCGGGCAACATCCGAGGAGAGCAAAGAGGAGGACAGCGCGGCTGGCGCTGTGGTCGCTCTGGGCCACCTGATTGGCCGGCTCGAGCCCTCCCTCGACCCTCAGGTGCAGTCTGGTGCCTTTGAGTGCGTCTTGAAGAGCCTGTCTGAGTCGAGTGCGTCGCTCGAGCTGCTGCTGGCGTGTTGTGAGAGCATCGAGGCGGTGTGTGCGCGACGAACACTGCCACTTCCGCTGCGGCACAGTGACAGTGATGGACCACCACAGCAAGAGCACCAGCAGATCGGCGCTGTGGTGGAGGCACTGAAGGCTGTGGGGCGGAGGTACGCCGCCATCGACAGCAGTGAGGAGACAATCGGTGAGGGAAAGATGCTTTGGGTCTTTCCATCCATCCACATGAATGTGTGTGTGTCTCAGGTCCGCAGGGCACTCGGGGTGCCTTGCTGTGTCAGGGAGCCTGGATGGCTCTGGGCGGCATCGGCGGCCGATACGACGACCACACCTACGACACATGCCTGCAGCTGCTGCTACAAGTATGTGCGTGTCCTTTGCTCACCCCCCCTACCCTCTCACCGTACCACGGTGGGTGGACATTTGTGTGTGTGTTTGTGGTGTGCAGGAGGGCACCCGCCGCGAAGAGGTCGCCAAGTGCCGCATCGGCGCGGCCCTCTCGGCGATGCTGCTCGCACACACCACCGCCACAGCCACAGCCAAGGGCTCCTCTCGCACCGAGCGGCTCATCACGGCCATAATTGAGGCCCCATCACGGTTCATGGAGGAGGCAGCCCAGAGGGGCACGAAGAGGACTCAGACAGTCAAGGTGACCACACACCACACCACACCACACCAAAGAGGCAGAGAGGGAACATCCTGTGTGTGTGTGTGTGTGCAGGTGGGTGTGCAAGAGGTGAAAGTGGATCTGGACGAGCTGGACAAGCGCGAGATGGAGCGCAGCGTCTGTGTCTGGTGGGCAGTGCTCCTCAAGCATGATGACCTGCCCCCACACACCCACCCCGCCCTCGCCAAACACATCACACAAATCGCCGAGTCGCTCTGCGAACGGCTCCCCGACCCCTCCGTCTTTGTCGGCGAGTGCGCGTGGCGCGCCCTCGTCCGCACCTACAAGTGGGCCTGTGAGCTGACGAGTGAGGCCGAGGTCGGCACATTGGTGTCGGTGCGGCAGGAGGTCTGCAAACTGGTGCTCAAGACGGCGGCGACCAACTGGAAGAGGGTGATGAAGATGCAGAGTGAGGGAGACCAACGGTTGCAGCAGAAGGCCGCTGACAAGGTGGGTCGGTGGCTGGGGGCTTTATCTCTCTCTCTCTCTCGCTCTGTGTGTGTGTGTGTGTGTGTGTGTGCAGACACTGGCCCTCATGTCGGACACACAGGCAGCCACCGCACGGCTGGCCCTGCTCAAGGAGTTCGGTCAGCCTGCACCCCTCTCCCCCCCAATGCCTTATCCATCATTGTGTGTGTGTGTGTGTATTGGGTGCAGCCAATGTCGCCCGCACCCTCTCTCACCACCCCTTGCTCTTCGCCTACATGGACCAGCCGCAGCCGTCAGCCTTCACATCTGAGCCATTCACTGCCACGGTCGACCTCATGGCGCCGTGCCTCACCATGCCCCACACACCCACCCTGGCCAGGCTGGTCTGCCCCTCATCGCTCAAGAGCAAAATGGTCCTCTACCTCTTTCACGGCAATGACCAAGGTGGAATGGGTGTGTGTGCGGCGGCCAAGACGCGCACGGGACTTGTGTGTGTGTGTGTGTGTGTGTGTGTGTCAGTGCGTGTGGCGACGGAGCAGCTGTGCTGCGCTCGGTTCGGTGTGGAGTCGGCCGCGGCGTTTGTCGGCACCGCAGCAGAGTGGAAGGCTGCACTGCCAAACCTCATCCAGGCACACCCATACTCTCACACACACAGACACACAGACAGACAGACAGACCAGACACCTTTGTGAAATTGCAGGGTTTGGAGGCGTATTCTGCTGAGACGCGTGTGGCGGCGTGCAGGGCGCTGACACTCCTGCTGAGGGGCCGACGATGGACAGACGTCCGTCAGCACACAACTGACTGACCCAAACCACACACACAGACATAGAGAGCGTGTGTGTGTGTGTGTGTGTGCAGTTGAGTGGCCATTATGAGTGGCTGTGGAGGGCCACAGTGCGCGTCATGGACGACATGGAGGAAAATGTCCGTCAGCCGACAGACAGACAGACAGACAGAGAGAGACCTTCCCCGTGTTGTGTGTGTGTGTGTGTGTGTGCAGGTGCTGAAGGCAGCCACGCCTCTCTCGCGCACACTCAAGGGCCTCGCCGTGTCGGCCTGCGACGCCGACACATCGCCGCTCGCCGACGTGCTGGAAGCCCTGCCGACCACCGTCGAGCTCATGAAGGCCCTCACCGAGACCAACAGCAACAAAGCGGTGGGCTCTGTGGTGCGTCGGGGCCATCTGTGTGTGTGTGTGTCCTGTGTGTCATGTGGGTCATGTGTGTGGTCTTAGGTGTGTCTGCTGTGTCTGGACACGCTCAAGGCTTCGCTGGAGAGGGCCGGCAGCCACACACAACTGCTGCTCAGCAAAGTGGTGCCCTTCCTGATTGAGGCCCTGGCAGCCTCCGAAGACCGCAGTCTGGCCTACACACAGTTCCACGCAGAATCACTTGGGTGAGTGGGCTGGACCGACTCACACATCTGAGTATTGTGTGTGTCGGTGTGTGCTCGATGTTTGTGTGTGTCGGTGTGTGCAGGTATTCGCAGGCGCAGTTTGAGAGTGCTCGGGTGGCTTTGTCGCAGCGGCTCGACTCGACCCACTGGGCCACACTGCAGAAGCTGGTACGTAAACCACTCTGTGTGTGTAGTCGCCCACCCTCTCTCTCTCTGTGTGTGTGTGTGTGTGTGGTGTGTGCCCACAGGTACCGATGGTTGACCCTCCCAGATTTGCTGAGCTGGTGCCCGCGCTCTCACAGCTGCTAAGAACCGGTGTGGGGCACATTACTCGGTATGCAATCGGCACATGGCACACACACGGGCGCACCATTTGTGCGCACCATTGTGTGTCCTGTGCTGTCCTGTGTGTGTCTGAAGTGTGGGTGTGTGTCAGTTCATCACCTGGGTGGCTGGCGAGAGGGGACGGCTGGCCATCGACCAAACAGCGGCCAACACAATGCTCAAGGCGAGCGACCAGGCAGACAGACGGACGGACGGACAGACAGGCACCCCCGTGTGTCGTTCGTTGATGCCTGCAGGTGCTGTCGAGCTCTCTGACCGATCCCTCAGTGGCTGTCCAGAGGGCCTCAGCGACCGCCTTTGCGCACATGGGGCGACTCGCCGCACACGACACACTCGCAGAAGTGCGGTCACCTGATACACACACACACACACGGACACGGACACGTGTGTGTGTGTGTGTGTGTGTCAGGTGACCAGGAGGTTGTTCAAGGCGCCGCCCCCCCAGCTTAGCGACGAGGCCTCGCGAGCCAGCTACAGAAAGGTGGCCGGCACCGCACTGATCGAGCTCGCCAGGTGCCGACACACTCTCACACACACACACACACACATGGCCCCTTCGCCAATGTTCTAACATGATGTTTGTGGGGTGCAGAAAATGCGGCGAGCATCTGGATGAGCTCAAGGGCGAGATGGTGGGCCTGGCCTTTGTGCTGCGGTTCGCCAGCGACGAGGGCACCAGCAAAGTCTGGACTGAGGTCAGCAGCGAGAGAGACAGCCGGGGAGGGAGGGAGGGTGGCAGTGTGTGTATGTGTGTGTGTGTGTGTGTGTGTGCAGCTGTGGGATGAGTTGGCGCCCAGCGAGTCGGCGGCCATCGACCGGTTCCTCACCGACATTTCCAAACAGCTGATCGACGTGAGGGAGGCCACACACCGCACACAGACAGCAGAGAGGCGATACGTGTGTGGTGCACACACAGGGTCTGTCGAGCCCTTCTCGCGCCGACAAGACGGACTGCTGCAAGTGCATCGCCGCACTCACTGACAAACTCTTCCCGTCACTCCTCGTATGACCACACAGCACGCACACACACACACACACACCGCCCCCTCTCCACCTCACCGCAGAAACACACACCACACGAGTGTCTCTCTCTGTGTGTGTGTGTCATATTGATCACTCCTCAGAGCCGCAGTGGTGGGTCGGTGCCCGACTCCCACTGCACCAAAGACGAGAGGGCGGAGCTTCGGCGCCTCTACGACACGCTCCACTCCTTCGCCCTCTCCCTTCCCACATTCACTGGGGGCGCGGCCGTCGCTGCGGCGCTTCTCGACATCGCTGCGGTGCTCACTGCCATAAGACACCCACCTGACACAAACCAGCTCATTCAGGTGACAGAGAGAGACAGAGAGAGACAGAGAGAGAGGGGGGAGAGGGGTATGTGTGTGAACTGTCTGTCTCTCTGTGTGTGTGTGTGTAAGGGGGTGTCGTCATACGCACACAAGAGCACGGTGGCCGACCGCACCACGGCCGTCAGGGCGATTGAGAAGTACATTCACCGACGCGCAGAGATGAAGGAGGCCAAGCTGGTCGACGACGTCATCGAGCCGCAAGTGGCTCCGGTGCTCAAAGCCATCGCCACACAGGCAGGCACCCCCCCTCCCGCCACCACACAGACCCACACACTTTGGCCATATCTCTCCCTCTGTTAAGGTGCTGGACAAGGCCTCTGACACGGCAGCAGAGGCCGACCAGCCGTCGGCGTCATTGGATCCGCTGATGGTGGCCTGCCTGCAGCTGACCGAGGTTCTGCTGGCCGAGCAGCCGAGAGATGCGCTCGACAGCGACGCCCTGGCGACCTATGTGCGCGCGTGTGTGGACTGGCTGGTGGGGTGCTCATGGAAAGTCAAACTGGACATTCTGCGGGTGGGTGGGGTGAGCACACACACACGCAGAGAGACGATAGAGACACCATGTGTGGTGTGTGTTGTTTGTCTGTGGTACGGGTGTCATTATTAGAGTGTGCAGCGATTGATCAGCAGGGCCATGACGGCCAGGGATGGCCTCAGGGGCATTCCCCTCGCCCACATCGGCCCCACAGACCTGGTGCGTCAGCTGCTCAGACGGCTGGTGGCCGCTGCGGCCGAGACCAAGATATCCAAGTGAGACAGAACGAGACGACCGTCAGTCGAGAAACCTACCCGCCCCGCTTGTGTGTCTGGTTCAGGCTGAAAATGGCCGGCGGCGAGACGCTCGACGCCCTCGCGCACCACCAGATATCGCTGCTCCGCGACTACCATGTCGATGGCCACTCAGACAGAGACACATCGCTCTTTCGCGAGCCGATGGACTCCCATGGCGTGCCGCCCCTCCCGCCGCTCACCCTGCCGCCCCTGGTCAGCCACCCTGCCTGTCTGGGCGACTTGGCGCTTTGGCAGCAGTGTGTGGCTGCACTGGAGGAGTGGCCGAGCCTCCGGGAGGGTGAGAGTGAGCACCCCACTCGGCGAATGGCTGTGAGGCTGCACAGACTGCTGGGAGACACCAAGTTGGTAGAAGGGCGTGCAGACAGCTAGGTGGTGTAGGTGTAGGTGTAGGTGTAGGTGTGTGTCTGGCGATGCGATGAAGACGTCTTTATGTTATGAACGATGACAGTACGCGGCGATGCGAGTTCAACGTGACTGCGATGTAGAAGGACACGCACACCATCCTGTTGATTCAACGTTTCGTTTCGTGGATCTTACCTGCTATCACGTCCGCACCCATACATACACACAGAAACCCAGCTGGCAGACACGTCACATCAAGGTACGAGGGTCCGCCGTGACGCACGTCACATACACACACACATACACACATACACGTACACATACACGGCCGTTCACTATCTACACACTCCACCGATCCTGGGCAGGCAGCATGGCCCCAGGCAGACACATACACACACGCACACTCACGAGCCCTCTTAACCACGCACATTCAAGAGAAAGAAACGACAGACAGCGCGTCCCTTCGACAAAGGCCAGCGCACCCCTCACTCCATCACCAGCACATCACACCAGCCACTCACCGGTCGGTTGCCCGCTAGGTGTCGATGACGATGTCATCCTCAAGACCGAATCGCTGCACCGCACTCCGCCACAGAGGAACCGAGACGGGGAAGCGGAGATGGAGCGGATCAGAGTAACGACCTCTCCGCCACTCGGTCGTGCAGAGCTCGGCATGAATCGGATCGTAATAGGAGAATCTGATGCACATAGAGGCGGCGACGGTCTCTGTGGGGCGGAAGCCGCTGATCAGCAGACAGTAGTCAGGGGGCGCATCCATGCTGTCGTCGCTGCGACATTCTGTGACGATGCCGTCACTCTCGCTGACATCGGCAGCGAGCAAGGAGCGATAGCGACCGGCATCATTGCCGAGGTCTACGCTCATCGCGTTGCTCACCATTGGGTTCCCCCAGCCCAGCAGCCCGCGCAGCAGGAATGCCGTGAACGAGGGGTAGAGCCCGCCCAGTGGGAACCCGCCTTGGTGTCGGATGACGGGGTCGGTCCGCTTGTAGCCCTCACCATAGGGATGGCCGGCAGGCAGCTCACCCAGTGGCACCACACGGAACTCAACACCTCGTTGCCGCCAGCCGATACGATAGGCCCCGTTTTCGGCCTGCAGCAGCGCCAGTCTCAGTCCGCCGACTCGGGCGCCCCGCAGTGTGATCCCTTCTCTGCTGAGCAGGTGGCCGAACAGGCGATAGATGGCCATGGCGAGGGGCAGCTGGTGGAAGGCTTCCGGGTCAGGCAGTGAGTGCGCCTTCAGCACCAGAGGCAGACCGGTGTCGGGCGTCAGCTGGTGGATATTCGCCAGACGAAGGAACCGCCCCATGGCCCGCCACTCCTCACTGCCGAGCTCCAGCAAGTGGAAGACCTTCAAGCCGCTCTCCACATCGCCAATCGTGACGGCCAAGGCGTCTTGCACCACCAGAAGACTCATCGCGTCCTCAACGTGCTCCCTGACGAGCCGCAACATCGTCTCCTTGTCGAGAGCCGGCAGGTCGCGGATCTGCGCGCGCAGCGCCGCCCGTTGCTGAACGTCAGTCGACATGGCCATCTCAGCGGACTTCTTGATGGCGAGCCTCTGCAGCGAGGGGCAGGGGGGAGGGCCGCTGGGCTCATCGCTCTCGGTCTGATGGCGGCCGTCAGCCTGCGACGTCATCGGTGAGGGAACGGTCTGAGCGTCCCAACACACAAAGGTGTCATCAGTGGAGGACTGCTGTGCTGTGTGCACGTGCGCCTGCTCGTACGGTTTGAGCCACGACGTGTCGTCGTCCTGTCGTCAGTGCCTCTCCCCCGGTAAATGCCCTCTCACGTGTACCCACTCTCGCGTGTACCCTCTCTCTCTCTCTCTCTCTCTCTCCCTCAGGGCGTCCTGGTCCTTCCTCGGATAGTCAGTCTCTTTGGCAGCTCTCAGCTCCTCGGTCGCTGTGGAGGTGCCTCTTCAATCGCTCTCCAGGTACAGAGTCAGGCTAGCTGGGCGTGCTCCGGAACCAATCGTGAGCGCCTATGTGCGTCTTCGGGCAGCTCTCCCCATCCATCCGCGGGGAGATAGCTATCTCCCCCGCGGATGTAATTAATAGCTCTGTCCCCGCCGTTGACCGTTACGTAGAGAGTGATCTTTTGCGTAGGCAGTACTCATCGCACTCGAAGCCTGTACACACCTGCCACCAGATCACACATTGTGGACACAGCAAGATCTTCTGTAGTCTTTGGCTCTCTGCGGCGACGAACTGATGAGATCTCAACCACGTTAGGTCAATTAACACATCCGCAGGACGCACTGGCAAAACATTGCACGAGCCCCTCGTATCTGTGTGCAGCAGCCAGTGCCCTTTTTTCCAGCCTGCGAGCTTTGCCAAAGCCCAAACCCTAAACCCTAAACCCTAACCCTAAGCCCTAAGACATCACCTGTCTGTCTTCCACCGTCAGCTACGCAGCAAGAAAACAGAGAGGTGAGAGAGCGAGAGAGATGGACTTTTACGGACTTTCCTATGCCACCAAACACGGACCCAAGCCTCATGTTCTTAACGTTTCTGACTGTGCGGTCTGATCTGCCTCTCAGGGAAGGCCAACACACACCCGACACAGACACAGCCAACGTCACCTGTCAAGACCAAGCTGCAGGAAGCCGTCCAGGACAGCACAAGCATGATGGCCGGGAAGATCAGCTTCATTGCCATGACCATTGTCGTCCTGGCGGGCGTGGCGGCCGCCGACGTCACCGTCGTCGAGTCGGGCGATGATGGCCGCGTCTGTCCCCCTGGGTGCGTCTCATGGTTCGACGGTATGGGATGACAACCACTGTGAAAAGGGTGTGTGGGTGGGTGCCTTATTGGCTTTTGCGTGTGTTGCTTGCCTGCGTCTGTCAGGGTGCAATAACTGCTTCTGCAACGAGGACGGCAGCCTCGGCGGCTGCACACGGAAGTTCTGCCCACCTGGCACCGAGGAACCGCCAAAATGCCGCAAATGGGGTCAGTCAACGAGGGAAGGATCCACATATTGCCCATGGGCACATGTGGCTGTGTGTCTGGCTGTGTGTGTGTGTGCAGCCGAGCCCGAGCGTCTCTGCCCCGTTGGCTGCCTGCAGTGGTTCGATGGCTGCAACTGGTGCCAGTGCAGTGAGGACGGGACGCTGGGAGCCTGCACACTCAGACTCTGCCCGCCGGGGACAGAAGAACCTCCCAAGTGCCTCAGATGGGGTGAGTGGGCACACGAGTATGATGTGTGTATGTCATGTGAGAGTCATGTGTCCCGCCCCTTTGTGTGTGTGCTGTGGATGCAGCCACGACAACTACTCCGAGCCCGAGCCCCCCTGCCGAAGAGGACATCGAGTGAAAGACAGAGCCTGCAAGACACACACGGGCCAGCCAGCCCGCCTGTAGATAAACAGACAGACAGCTGATGGGTTACACATGTGTTTGTGCGTGCCAGTAGTGAGTGTTAGAGAGCTGGGGGGTGGGTGTCTGAACCATGGGTATTTGTCAGTTTCTCGGGCTAGGTGGCCGGCTCCCCGTGTCGCGGGTTGTCTGTCTGCCTGTCGATAGTCAATTGGTGCGTGGGCGTCCAGTCCTTTCCCGTGTGCGTGGCTGTGTCTGCTGGTCGGTCTTTCTTTTTTAATCGGACCTACTCGCGTGCTAATGTGATGTGTGAGACAGACGCGACGCATGCACCGTAAATGAAGGCGTATCCGTCTGGCATCCCCCTGGAGCGGCACTGGACAGCACCACATGACATACATGTGAAGCCTTTGATTGATGAATTGTTGCCTGCCTGCCTGCCTCGTGTGTCCGTCTGCTGACGTACCTGTGTGCCATCCGCTGCATGTTGCTTCTGCAGAGCTTGTGACCACCGACAGACCCCAGCCATCCCCGCGCGAGCTTAGCTACGATCTCTGCCCGTTTTGTCGCAAGCTGCATTCTGTTCGTTTTCAAAGCACTCGACGAAGAGGTGAGGGCAGAGATCTCCCCACGCATCCGTTTTGTCTTTCATGCGTAGGCTTGTGGATGTGGGTATGCTTGTCAGGCTGTGTGTCCTGTGATGGTGGCGTATCCCGACGTCGAGGCGAGTGCCCCTCCCGCAACGGAGGGAACACCTGTGCCCTATATGCCTGCGCCGTCTGCCGATGCCGCCGATGCCGGGGAGCGGCTGAAAACTAGGCTAAAAAGGCTGGAGAATCGCGTCAGTTACGTCGTCGGCGAAACCTGCTCTGCCTCCATCTTGGGCTCCATCGCACTGATCGCCGTCGGCGTCCTCATTCTGTGCTTCATCTGGCCGGGTATTACCGCCCTGCCGACGGATATTGAGGCCATCAAAGCCGACATCGCCGCACTCAGAGCCGACAGCCGCGGATATGCGCTGAAGACGGACATCGACGCCATCAGAGGCGACAACAACAACCTGGCTGCCAGCATTGCTACGCTGCCGAGTAATGAGACTGTGCAAGCGGCCATCGATGCGCTGCGAGCGGACAACCAGAACGAGTGATGCGATCGAGCGGCTCAGTGATGCGGTGCGGCTGATGGCTGAGCTGGACAAGAGTGCCTGGCAGCACACGAGGGAGGCAATCCTTAGCGATAGCAACACGACAATGACACAGAAAGTGGCCCGGGTGCAGGAAGTCGATGCCAAGATGAAGCAGCTGAGAAAGCGACTTGTGGCTTGAGGGGGCGGGCAGACAGACGGGGGTATGCGTGTGGGTGTGTGTGTGGGTGTGTGTGCATTCAATGGAGCAGTGATTGTGTCATTTGTTAGTCGGAGCGTTATGCGATCGATCAAGGGAGCAGAGTGTATCATATGTAGAGAGGAGAGGCACCCATACACGGTGCCGTGCTGTGCCGTGTGTGTCGAACGTGCTGCCTGCCTGCCTGCCTGTCTGCCTCTTTGTACTTTATTTACGCTTTACTTTATTAGTTAGGCCCTACAGATGCGTGTAGGCTGTGTGTATGTCCTGAGGGTTTAAGGCGACCGGCCACTTTTTGCGCCGTCTGGTCAGTTTTTTATATATGACAACACAGTGCAGCGGGTGCAGCCACATGTGTGTGTGCGTGTGTGTGTCGTGGGTGTGTGTGTGGTCTACATGAGGGAGGACACAGGGAGAGCTTTGGATCTGCGCGCGTAACCTGTGCGAGCTTGTGGCAAATCTGGCTCGAGAGTCCCGGTTGAGCCTAGCTATACACGATGCAGCCGCTGTCCGCCTGCCTCACAAAAAGGGAATCAACGCAGGAGCGTCAAATCTAGTGGTATACATGAGGAAGGATGAACGGCAACACGAGAGGGAAAATCAGGACGGGTATCAAGACTATCAGGACTACGAACAGGACGGGAAATAAGAGAACAGCCAAACACCCCTCCGTCAGATCCCGGATAGCTCGACTACACCCCGAGCTCTCAAGCTCCTCCTTCAGCTGGTCACGGTGCGCTGTCATGTCCTGCAGCTGGGCCTCCAAGGAACAAACCAGCCGCTGCATCTCCTCCACTTGTTCCTGCAGCAACTTCACATGCTCGTATGCCGCGCGCTCGCGCGACTGTGAGGCAAACAGTTGGCTCTCCCATCGGCTGACGTGTTCTTTTTCTCTGAGGGCCCACATGATTTCGTCTCCCTTCTGGGCCAGCTCATCGGTCCATCGGGCCGCAGTGGCGGAGAGGTCTCGGCCGCCTTCGGTGACGAGCTCCTGCAGCCCTCCATGGTCGACAGACATCGCTCCGTCAGCCTCCATCAACTGAGGAGACAAAACGCCACACCCACAGCGACGCAATCACTCAGATTGATGAATGCATTGGTTTTTTCGCTTGGTTGCTCACTTGTTCTGGCAGGCTGAGCGAGTGAGCCACCATCCTCCTCTTCTTGACGCCCGGTGATGCGCTGAGCCTCACAGCATCAACGAATGCAGCTGATGCAATTGAAAGGCTCCTGACGAACACAGCGACCAGGAACACACAGGAGATGGCGCCATCGAGCATGGCAACGCCCCGCTAAAAACGTGGAGATCTGCGCCTCTACTAAGCTCGCAGAAGGAGAAGAAAAAACCTCCTCCCGAGACCAGAAGGAGGCTGCCTGCTCGCCGTGCTCCTGCTCATCTGCAGATCCACTCATCCATCTCACCCCACAGATCCACGATGCAGCCGCTGTCCGCTTGCCTCACAGCTGCCAGCATCTTCAAGTTGGCTTTTGTGGTGCTCAGCTGCATGGCCGCCATCGCAGACGCCTTCTCCCTCTCCCTCCCGGCCCATTCATCGTCCCTACGCCAGAGATCGCCATCACGTGCACTCCGGCGGCACACATCTGCTCTCTACGAGAGCCTGCTCGACAGCGCCCCTTCCCCGCCGGAAGCAGACCAGCTGGACGAGGCGACGAGGGAACGCATAGCGGCTTTGGTCAGGGAGAACCCCGTGTTGGTGTTTATGAAGGGGACGCCCGAGCAGCCTCAGTGCGGGTTTAGCAACACCATGATGCAGGTGCTGCAAGTGTGCGGCGTGCAGCGCTTCAAGGCGGTGGACGTGCTGAGCGACGAGAGGATACGGCAGGGGATCAAGGTGTACTCAGAGTGGCCCACCATCCCGCAGCTGTATGTCAATGGGGAGTTCCTCGGTCAGCAGATTCGATATGAATATGACTCATCGCGTCGTATGCCTCTCTGTCCACAAGTGTCTGTGTGTGTGTGTGTGGTGGTGGTGGTGTGTGTGCAGGTGGGAGCGACACAGCGGTTGAGATGTACAGCAGCGGGGAGCTGCAAGAGCTCCTCGAGGTCGCACAGGCGTCCTGACGTGAGAGACTCAAGACCTGTGTGCAGCGAGCGACAGACAGACAGACAGCCTTTTGCGTATTTGTGACTGACTCAGTCGATTGCTTGATAGTCACAGCTGGCTGTTGGCTTACTGGCCACTCTTCCCTTGCTTCGATGGTGCTCTGTGTTTGTAGCAGGTGTGGCTTCAGTGCGGCTGTCACCCCCAGACGGGCACACAGGATCACACACATGCCCCAATGGCTTCACACACAGATGGCAGACAGACAGGCGGATGCAAGTGTGTGTTCGGGGAGGGCGATTTAGACGTCCAGACGTGCAGAACAGAGACGTTCATGGGTATGCGATGCGATGCGGTTGAATTGTCGGACGGCCGAGGGGCCCGTTTATCGATCGACGTCTTTGCTATGCGATCCAATGCAGTGCGTCACCACAAACCATCCGTCCCTCATGAGATGGACCAGGTGTACTTCCTTGTCTGTCTGTCCGACACTCTGCAAAGCCCACACACTCACATGTTATCTAGCCAGGTAGGCAGCTAGAAAAGAGTTCTCGCACGCCATAGTCTGCATGCATCTTGCAGGCATCACATCACACGTGACTGACGTCCTCGATGGGGCAGTGAATGAATGGTCATCGGAAAAAACCAGCTCACATCACATCGTTGTTCGTGGGTCCGTCCAAAATCCTCGTTGGCAGCAAAGGCACCAAGCCCCACGACGCCAACACGACGCAACTGGGCGCCCCGTCCAAAATGGAAAACAAGTGGAACGTGTGTTCTTGTCCTGTTGGACCAACAAAACACCCTCGCCCCTCCCTCCCTCCAGTGTGTGCACAAGACATCAGATCAGATCGATCATGCGCCGCTGACGCTGCCGTCACCCCTCTTGCCAAAATCGTATGTCACCTTGGTCAGCTGCTCACTCGCCTGCACCACACAACACACACAAAGGGCAAATGCTTACCTACTGTGGTGAGCTGAGCTTGTGTGTGTCTGTCTGTGTACCTCCCACAGTTTGGCATTGGTGTCGTCATCGAGTGCCTGGCTCGGTACGGTTACCACCGCTGGATAGCCGGCTGTCGACAACAGTCCGTCGGGGCCGATCAGCTCGCCGCCCTGCAGACTCTCCTCACTGCGCACACACACCACACACACGCACACATACAGAAACAGTGGGAGCACGCCGTTTGTGTCTGTGCGTCACGGCAACGACTGTCGGTACGCCACGCACCTGATGGCATAGAGGACGGGCAGCGCCCCCATGTCCACCTTCTGCCCAATCGTCGAGTCCGCAATCCTGCACACAGACACACAGACAGATGCACAGATCGATTCGATGGATGCACTGCATGTGTGTCGGTGGCTGTGCGTGGACATGACGTACTTGAAGAATGTGCCAGCCAAGAGTGCGCCGGCCTGGTTGCCAGCAGTGGCCTGCAGGTTGGTGTAGACATACCCTGGGTGGGCGGAGAAGCACTTCGGGTGCGCGTGGCCGGCCGCCGCAAGACGCCTCGACAGCTCAGTCATGTGACAGATCTGCCGAACACATCCACATTCATAAGTGTGATGTGTGTGTGGTGTGGTGTGGTGTGTGTGGTGTGTGTCGTGTGCACCTGAGCAAGTTTAGACTGTCCGTACGCGGCCCACCTGCCGAGGAACTTGCCGTATTTACTCCGGCCGTCCTTGTTGCTCATCTGCAGATCGTCCAAGAAAACCGTTGCTGAGGGACACATCACATGGAAGGATGATGGACACGACACACTGACAACTGTGCTGACATACGGTAGGTATGTCTGTCGGTCTGTCTGTCTGTCTGTGTGTCTGTGTGCGAGTGTGTGTGCTTACCATTGAAGGCGGCAAATGACGACTGGTTGACCACCCGCGACCCCTCCGTCTTGATCAACATATCCAGCAACCTGCACATGTCACGTCACACACACGGACGTCGCCACATACACATACGGCCGTCGTGTCCACAGGATGGAATGGACAGACGGCATACGGTCGGACCTGCCGGTGAGGGCCCAGGCCCCAAGGTAGTTGATCCCCAGCTGCATCTCAAAGCCATCAGGGGTCTCCTGCCGAGGGTAAATGGCCATGATGCCGGCGTTGTTGACCAGCACGTCGAGTCGGTCGTATTTGGCACTGAATGCCGCGGTGAAATTGGCGACCGACTCAAGCGATGCCACGTCGAGCTGCATGACCTCGACCTTGGCCTGGGGAGCGTCTTTGCTGATGTCTGCTTCCGCCTCTTTCGCCTTGTTGAGGTTGCGGCAGGCCATGATCACTGTCCCGCCCTGACACAACAGACACAGACACAGACACGAACACAGACATAGACACAGACACAGACAGAGACACAGCATGCCCGCGCTGCACATGTGAGCGTGTTTGTCGTTTGTCGTGTGTTCGTCACCTTCTTCGCGAGTTGCGTGGCGATTTCCTTGCCCAAGCCAGCATTGGCACCGGTGACGACGCAGACTTTGCCTGACAGACACAGCCACCAGGCGGATGTGCGACGCGTGTATCTGATCTTCCCTGTGCCGTCCTACAGTACCCGTCATGTCCTTCATGTCACTCTCGGCCGTCCACACCATGCCTGATGATCTGATTGGTCAATCAAGGGAGCTGCTGCTGCTGCTGCAGGCGTTCACGTAAGGCTTGAAGTTGAAGTTTGAGCAGAAGACTCACTGACAGACCCGGAGATCAGCACTGGTCAGTGGTCAGTCGATCAGCGGAATCTTCGTATTCTGCCCCTTGTTCGTCTTTACCCGTTGGCCCGCGCAGCTGTTCTCTTGATATGCCTGCCTCTGTGGCTGTCCTGCAGAGGAGCACGGCTACCTATGAGGAACTGGAGTGGGATAGGCAGATCCAGAGTGAGCAGATGCGGTTCTTTGGGGTCCTTCGCAGTCCTTCACGTACACGTGCGAGAGGGGAGAGAGCAATTTCGAATTGAATCGGGCGGTTTTGTCAAGCTCGCATGAAATCCCCCTTTTCGCCCCCAACTGTTCTGTCGCATTTTCCCGTGATGGCTAGGAGAACAATGAGCAGGGGAGATCACTTCGAACAGGTCTCAGCTGCGTGTCACCGACATGAGGCATCTGTCTGTCTGTCTTGATGTCTGTCTGTCTGTCTTGATGTCTGTCTGCCTGCACCCACGCAGCTGGACGCGCTGTTTGCGTCGATAGTGGACCATCGGCAGCGGCTCACCGACAAAATCAAAGACACTTTCTCAGTAGATCATGCCGATGAAGGACAAGAGGCGGGCGGACAAGGCCCATGGGGACACACACAGGTAGGTTCTTTCACTCGCTCCTCTGTGTGTCTGAGTGTCTGACTGTCTGTCTGTCTGTCTGTCTTTGCCTGCAGGTCTCTCCTGCCCACTCGAGCGGCCTCGCCCTCAGTTCAGGGGAGGCCGACATCGAGAAATACGACACTGCCGGGGAAATGCTCCTCGAGCGGTTCGTAGAGACATTGATTGATTGCATGTTTGTCAGGCTGAGTGGGCAGATGTCTGTGTGCTTGTTTGTGTCGGTGTAGGTGGCTGCAGGAGTGCATTCGGTGGCACCTGATCGACTTGAGCATACAAAAGGACATCGGGCGGAACGAACAGGCCATCAAAGAGGTACACATGTGTGTGTGTGTGTGTGTGTGTGACGGGTGGATGCGATCGATGCGCAGACAGAGGGAGAGAGAGCCAGGGTCTGGTGTGGTGTGTGTGCCCCGGTATGCTCCCGCAGCTGTGTGTGTCGAAGCGCCGAGATGTGCAGAAGGCGCTCGACCGACGGCTGCTGCAGTTCTGTAAGCAAGCCGCCATGGCAAACCTGAATGCATGGCTGCACTGCATCCATCACATCGACGTGAAGAGAAAAATGTCCCTGTGCAGGGCAGGCCCGCGCACAGCAGCTGGAACATGCCTTCATACACAGCATTCGCAAGTGAGCCAACCCAGTGACCCCACGCCGCTACAGGTATGTGTGTCTGCGTTTCGGCGTGGGTGAATCGATGCAGCCCCTTGGAGGTGACATTTGCCGTGCCAGGTGCCACTGCGAATGGCGAGGACGAGATGTCTCCTGCTCTTGCTGACAACACGCCCAAGTTCGGCCAGACACAGGGGATTCTTCAGCGGGCGATTGCCCGCTCTGATGCCCACACTCAGACACAGACACAGACAGAGCGGCAGGAAAGGGCTCCGTCCGCGGACAAGAGCACAATGACGGCAGCCGTGGTCGAGCCAACGGTGCGGTGCCTTCACACGCACACAGACACGCAGACCTCTAATCTTCTACTCGTGTCATCAGCCCCTGGCACTGGCTGAGAGCAAAACACCTACATTTGGGCGCAGCCAGGCAGGCAGGCACACACGCATGAGACACACGCAGACGAGGTATGTGTGTGTTTGTGTTTGTGTTTGTGTTTGTTTGTCAGGAGGCGACAGTGCAGATCGGTCCGTCTGCTCATGAGCGGCGAGACGCCCACACACAGACGGACCGTTCACACAGCCGGGATGGGCACTCACAGACGGAGGGGGGCGACGCCGCTGATGAGACACCACTGCAATGTGGGCGTAAGAGGGCGTGTTTATGTGTGGATCTGTCAATGTGGGTCGTCTTTCTGTGAGTGTGTGTGTGAAGTTCCCGGCGATTGGGAGCGGTTGCTGCACAGAATGCAGCGGCTCTACCAGGAGGCGCAAGACCAACACGGCTCCTGGTACACAGACACACACGCCCATCCAGCTCCCCCCCCCCCCCCCC